TTCATTAAATATTAATGATAAATTACAATAATAAATATAGTTTACTTACTTTCTGTTGTCTTCCAGATTTCAACAAATGTTTTAAATACATCCTGTGACATATTCTTTGCATCTCCACAAACATAAACAACACATCCTACTTTTAGTAATCTCACAACATCAGTTGCATACTGAATAATGTTATGTTGAACATATTTTGGTCTGTCTGGAAAACTGTCTTCAGTGTTCTCTCGAGAAAAGCACACAAGCAGTTTGGTTAATATTCCATCTGCCTGAAATTTCTCAAGTTCTTCCCTATAATAAAATAATGATGTTAATCAAATTTTTTATTAAACATATCGTAAAGTTTTAAAATTGATTCACAGATTTAATAAAATGTAAATTATTTTGTGTTTTAAATATATAAATTTTTCTGAAATATAATTGATATAAATATAAATCTTAATAATTGAGATGATTTTGCCCAACATTAGTCAGGAAATACTAGTGCCATAATTAGCCATTTTCGTGCCCTGTGCAGGAATTTGCATTTATGACTCTTAATTAACTAAATTTGAAAAATAATAAAACAAATACATGCATTTTGGATCCCCTTCCAAACGGACTCTGTGTGGGTGTATCTGTTGCATCTGCCTAATTACTGCACTGGGAAACTATTACATATAATCAGTTTGACTTTCTTGTTAAATGTTTAATATCTATATTAGTATGAATGACACTACTACTGTATTAAAGTGTTACTGAAAGCATTAGCAAATTTAAATAAAAATACATCAACATCAACTTTGTGTAAGATCAGTCAATTTTTAGATGAATTTATAAAGAACTAGCATACCCCGCCACGCGTTGTTGTGGCTCAAAATGTATCTATTATAAATGTATAACACTTCCCCCGTGGGGGGAAATTTTTCGAAAAATTTCTTCTTAGTACATTCTCTGGATGTACCCTATTAAAACGCAATCAAACATGCAAAAACCCGCATCTAAAATAGTATAATAGAAGCCAAGTTCTTCACAGTAAGCCTTAATTCTGTCCCTTTCCCCTGCAGAGGAATATCGAAAAATCCCTTCTTAGTGAACATTCTGTTGACGTATCCTATTAAAACGCAATCAAAAACACAAAAACCCGTATCTAAAATAGTATAAATAGAAGCAGAGTTCTTTACTATAATCCTTAATCCTAACCATCTCCCTTCAGTGGGGGGAATGTCGACACATATATTACAGTATATAAAAACACGTGCGTATTCGAATGCAGCGTTGTGTCAAAATTTCAAAGGAATCGGTATGAACAAACGAACATTACATTTTTATTTATATAAACAGATAGAAGATGATTAGTTCATTTTCACAGAAAAGCAAACTTAGGGCGTCGTACTCGTAGCGCCATCTGTTGGACAAAAAAGCCTTAACGATAGATAATATCATTTAATTTATATGAATGTTTAACGGAATAATATACAGCCTATGTCCACCCTGAGGTTCCATTCTAAATATTGGTGAAAGAATTTTTGAAATCGGATGAGTAGTTTCGGAGATTACCTGCTGCAAAGAAACTTACATTCATACATATATACAAACATTACCTCTTTATAATATTAGTATAGATTTGATAATAAAATTTGAATTCCTTTACTGTGTGTGTGATGTAAATTGTTTAGTGGAACTCTCTTAGTGAAAGTTTTGACATTTGTGCAACATTTAACTGCTCCAAAAGCACTTAACTGATTTAGATCATTTTTATATGCAAATAGAATTAATCTTGATCTAGGTCATGAAGTAAACAGAATTTTGAAATTCAATCTGTGACCACAGATATACAATGTCAAAGTTCACAATGTTGGGTATGAACAAGTGGATCCAGGTGTCCTGCCCACACAGGCAAACCTAGTTTATTTAATTATAAACATTTTAAATCAAAATATTATCATCTTCAATTTACTATCATTCTTACTTTAAAACAAAAAGTGTTAGTAATACAGTGAAATTTTACATTTTGGATAACATTTCTATCAGTTAAGTTCAACAATATATAATAATAATAAACTATATTCTTACAAAAATATTTCTACAAAGTAAAAAAAAAATGGGATCCAATGATAGTTTAAGTTAAAGATGTAATATCATCTAAACAATTTTAAATGAAAAAAGTAAATTAAATTAAATTATAATATTTATACTTACTTATATAAATAATCTTTATCTCTGTATCTACAGCCATAAAATAACCATGCTTCACCAAAATGAGATGCTTCTGTTAACTGATTCATGATCTGGTATTTCCTATTTAATAGTTTTAATATCATTTATTACAATCACAATTATAGATTACAAAATAATTATGAAATATAATATTTAAACTTCCTAATTAAATTAATTAATTTAACTTAAAAAAATCAGATATTAAAAAGCAATTAAAAAATATCATAATTTATCCTTATGCTTTAAAGAATTATAAAAAACAAACCTGTGATGTAAAAAGCCAATAAATGGAGCAATTCCACTTCCTGGTCCAATCATTATAAGAGGGACAGAAGGATCTTTTGTTAGATGGAAACGTTGGTTATATTTTTTATATATTCTGATCTGAGTATAATGATAATGAAAAGCATTATTATAAAAATAATGTAATGTATAATTTCTTTCAAACTTTCAATAAAAAAAAAATAAAAACTAAATCTTTATCTTAACATTTAAATTTAATAAAGGAATAATGAAAGTATTTTTAGGTCTTTTGTGTCTTTGTATACTATTCCCTGCCTAAAACCTTCCAAATCTCTCTTACACTGGGATTATATTTGAATTGCATATTTACAGAAAAACCCTTGTTAACTGAGGTTCCACATTATTCAAGGCAAATTTCTAAGTGAATAGACTTTTCGTGTTCAGTCACCAATTGATAATGATTCAGTGATGATGAAAAAATGTCTGGTCAGATTTTCTACAGTTTTTATTTCCAATGTATGTACAGCATTTTTTACAGTTTGGTATCGATCAAAGTTCTGGTCTGTTTTGTTCGCATTGGCCACTTGTTCAGACATCCATTCTCGGTAGCCATTGGTCCGAAAATGTGTGTCTAGTTCAAAGTTCGCTCTTTTCTCTTTATTCCTGCGCCCTCTGTTGGCCTGAATTGGCACATTGCCAATGGGCGCTACACACTACTTTTGTTATAATTCATAAAAGCTTTGCCATGAATTTACTAAGTAGGTAAATACTGTAGTATTTTTAATCTTGACTGTACTAATGGTTGAACAATCAAGTAGTTGAGGTGTCAGCATACAACTCTGGGAACCCAGGAACAAACCCAATTGGCCAAAATATCCTAAGAAGAGGTATGTTAGGATCCATCCCTCATCACTTGTCACCATTGAGGGCCTAATAAAAGACTCTCTTAATATCCAAAGGACAGACAGGGTAAAAAAATCTTGACTGTACCGAGAAAGTGGCTGATGCCAAGCTGACCATTTTTTAAAACTCTTTCTGCTCTTGGGACACTAAGACAGTCTGTTTTCCATGCCCATCACAGGTTGTCAGGTCCACAATAAAAGTAGTTGGATGGTAACAGACAGAGTCCAACATATCCAGGATAGACCACCCAAAAAAATTATGCTGAGGTGACTGTAGAATATTGTGGTAAGTGAGGAACTGCTATTAAACAAAAATCTCTAAAGAACTTTTGTTTCTGTTACCTTTTATCATTTAATTTCAATGTGAGACAAACCATTGGTATTAATTAAACTGTAGCTACAATAATACGCACTTTTATTCTTAAAACTATTTTACATATTAGCTGTATAATAAATGATATAAAAATTGTATTTCTTATATGTGATTAAACTAGCTGTTACCCGCAACTTTGCCTGCACAGATTTTGCAAGCAAACACCATTTATATTCAGTATTTCAACAACCATAGTGATTGTTATATAACACCTACTGCTGAGAATGATGAGAATTGCTGAGAATCAAATAAACTGTTTTCAATTTGATCAATTTTCTGGAACGTTTACAATCATTCTATAATCGAACCAATATGCAATAGCAAATTTGAATTTAAAATGGTTAAAAAATCAAAGTATATAAAAATATTTATAACAATGTCTGAAATGTTATCAATTTAATACACCTAAGTACTCAATGAAGACTAAACGTAGTTGAAAGCAAAAAATTGCATCTAAAATAGTACAGTAGAAACCGTTCTTCAGGTTAAGCCTTAATCCTTTCCCTCTCCCCCTCAGGGGAAATTTTGAAAAATCCCTTCTTAGTGTGCGTTTTCATGACATACCCTAACTGTGTACCAAATTTCACCTCTTTAGGTTCAGTGGTTTGCTCTGGGTGATGATGAATCAATCACTTAGTCAATCAGGACAAGTAATTTTACATATTTAGATTTATTGTGGTATAAAATGAAGCTTAAAAGTGATATACCACAAAAAACTTTTATACTTGTAATTTTTAATCCAAACGAAATGGCTGTAGCCATCCAGTTTATCCACATTTTCAGTTAACCAAGATAGCATCAATCCACATTACCTCAAGTAAATAGAGTTCTAGTATATATACTAAAATTTTATATGCTGAATAGAATAATTAATAATTTCCTGATAAAGCAATTACTTATATATAAAATAATTAAGAACAACTTATTATTAATATCATACCAAAGGTTTATCAGTTCTTCCTGCCAATACTTTAGAATGTGCTAAAGATTGTTTATTGTACATATGATTAGTAATTTTACTTAACCATCCAGTACAAACACCTTTCATATTTTTATCACCATCTTCAATTTCAGTAATATTGAAAACAATATTAAACTGATCAGGTTTTAATAGAGGAGAACTATGTAAAAAATGCATATAAAAACATGAAATAGTTAAAGCATAAATTAATTTTTAGAGTACATAAGTTATATTATAATTGTAAAAGTTAAAAAAAAAATTACCTTGCAACTGAATAAAATCTTGGTTTCAATTTTGGAAGATTTTCTGTTTTAAAAATTTAATTATTAATTTTTCCAATCACAAAAAAAAAAGACTACAACATATATATAGATGTGTGTATGTATTATATATAATAAATTAATGATTATTATGATATACATCACCTCTAAAATAGCTACTGTTGTTACTATGTAACCAATGTTAATTCCAATCTTTACAAATATCTTTCTACTATGTGTCTACATATGGGTGAACATAATTAAGTTTCTCTATTTGATGCTTTCTAAGGAGATAATTAGCAGTCCAAATGCAACCAAATCTAGTAGGTGACATTTAGGATATGCAAAAGATATTTCCATAAAATGCACCAATATGGCATTTTTGGTACTGCAAGAAAAACAAGTTTCCTTTGCATAAGCACAAGCATTGCAGATTAAAATGCTTGTGCTTATGCAAAGGAATTATATTCAACAGCTGTGGTCATTTTTAATGCTTCTGCATATAAAAATGATCACAGCTGTTGAATATAATTCTTAGCTGCAATACTCCAAAAAATACATCAAAAAAATTTTTTTATAAACAACCCAAAGAGTGCTCAGCAGGAAATAATAAACATTAACTTAACACCTGATCACTCGCTGAGAGATTTATTCTTACAAATAAGATTCAAATAAGAACAGGGGCTTTAATAATATGTACAGTAAAAACTCTGTATAGTTAAGTTGAGAAACTCTGTACAATTTATTAAGCAATATTAGTATTTAGTGTTATCAATTTGTCTATTAAGTTAGAAGTATTAATATTTTGTATACACAATTTTGTTTGTTACATTTGAATATTTTATTTTTTATTTTAGTTTTAGCAGCATTTGTATTAATTTTTTATTATTTAAAAACGTTATTTTGCTGTTAGTAACATATTGGTTATCCGTTATTAATATTTATATTTTTGTATTTTGAACTGGTTGTTCTATTTTTTGGAATGTTCTAATTTACCTGACGATGATCCATTGATTGGATTGAAAACGTTTGTTGTAAGAATAAATCTCTCAGCGAGTGATCAGGTGTTAAGTTAATGTTTAAAATTTTTTTAACTGATTGGTATTTGATAAAGAAATACTGTCATTTCTTTATCAAATAGTCCTGATGATTTTAAGAATTCCTGGTATTTTGGGCAAAAACACTTCAAATATTATCAACAGTCAAGACAAAAAAAGAACTGAATGATAAATTTTAAGCATTGAATTATTAATTTCTAAACAAATTTTTGCCATAAAACAATTACAAAATATTATTTTACAGAAAAAATGTATTCAGAATTTTTAGTAGATGAAAAATACTGTAAGATTTGATGATTTTGAAACGAAATATAATTTAAAAGACTAATGGCAAGAGCCATGTTACTCTCACTAAAAGAAAATTTATTAACCAAAATATCTAGTATTTTCTCTCTGTCTTATGACTCCTGGGACAATAATAAATCCTGTGACTGGAGAAGTTGATGACGTCAACGAATGTCAAGGAATGGTCTGTCAGAACGGGTATTGTACCAATACGGTGGGAAGCTTCCGATGCGAGTGCTATCGTGGATATCGTTACAATACGAGATCCCTGAATTGTGAAGATATCTAGTATTAACGGAAACATACCGTTATTACAATATTTTTTTAAATCTTAGATATATTTTTATTATATTTTTGTTGGATTGATGAGATAAGCAATGCTAAGAGGTATTCTAAATGAAAATGGCCCCGAATTTAGTTTTAGACAAAGAAATTTGGAAAACTCCATGCAGCGGAGCCTAATGGTTTATGATCAGATGACCAAAGTGGCTAAGGCATCAGCCAACTGCTCTTGGGACTCAGAATCAAATCCATCCAAGAAACTCCCAGGAATTTTTTACAGGTAGTCTGTCCCAAATATGTCAGACCCCATTCCTCTGCATTCAGTCACTCCCACTGTGGGCTTGGACAAACCCATAATAAGTATGACTGAAAATGTCCTCTTAATGACTACAGGATGGAAAAAGGTCCAATATTCAAGCACAAAAGTAAATATAAAATTAGAATTAATGCTTTAATAACATTTTAATTAAGCTAGTAATTAAAAATACTTATTTGAAAGTGTTTCTATGAGAAATGGAAACTAAAGAATAACAGTAACTTCATAACATAAGTAATGGCAAAAAATTGTACACTATTTTCATTAATCACAAAAAATATTTATACATTGTATAATTTTAATATTAATTAAATTAGTAAATTATTTCTTAGTAATATTAATATACTAAAAANCTCTGTCTTATGACTCCTGGGACAATAATAAATCCTGTGACTGGAGAAGTTGATGACGTCAACGAATGTCAAGGAATGGTCTGTCAGAACGGGTATTGTACCAATACGGTGGGAAGCTTCCGATGCGAGTGCTATCGTGGATATCGTTACAATACGAGATCCCTGAATTGTGAAGATATCTAGTATTAACGGAAACATACCAACCCTTGGGATGATGATTACATCAGAGACAATCTTCCAATCAAAATCCACAGTCATATAGTTCGAAATTACTACAAAATTTAGTTTAGTTGTGCAACAAAGTAGCAATGCACCATGTTGGTTACAAAGATTCCCAATTATACAAGAAGCAAAGACAGGGGCATAAAAAAATCTATTACTAGTTCTTAACTTTTTTGCCTCATATATAAAACTCAAAAGCAGAAAAACAAAATTGAAATGTTACTGGATAGTAAGATACAAGAAAAGAAATAAAAGGAGATATTCTACCAGGACAAGCTCCTTTTGTTACAGTCAAAAAGGCTTATCATTGAGAGGCTGAATTCACATAATGTGTTCATCTGGGTTGTCATCTTTATGATTTTTCTTTAGTGTAACAAGTCCTGTTCCTATCTGTACTGTAATAGAAAATTCTTTCAACATCTCTACCGAATGAGGTCTGAGTCTATAATCAGCATCAGGGAGAATTGTCAATAGTCCTTATATCTTCAAAGTTTTGAAGATGTGTCAAATAATTGACTTACTGTAAAATTAAATAGGGGCCACTTCCTATAAAAATCCTCCTGGAAGGCATCCCACTTGGCATATTGCCCATATGTTGCATTGCAGTAACCAATAAACAAAACTAATTCTAATAATTTTTCTATAAGCACACAATTTACAAGGACATACTTTCCATATAGTTTATATACATTCTGATAATGTTCTTAAAATGGATTTTACCAAATACAGTTTTGAAATTTACAATTAATAATCCAGGCATCATCACAATTGCTGCAATGGATACTTTTATAAACCCAAGCAATGCCGAGTGTAACAAGCTAGTAAATTGATAAAATTAAAACAACTGATGTAACAAGAGTGATGTCATGTCTTGGAGTGAAAAAAATAAGTGAATATATTTACAGTTTTCAGTCTTTATGGAAATACTAGAAAATGAATTTTACTTATTATGAATTTAATTAATGATATGACAACTGTGGATTAATATGAAAAACAATATTATGTTATAATTTATGTTTTTATTAGAAAATAACTTACCTAAAACAACTTCAACAGGAGGAAGACAAGAATGAAAAGCCTCAAGTATGTCAAGTAAAGTAGCATGAGACTGTACAACACATCTTATGTAGTCTGAGGAACCTTCTTTACTACAAAGTTCATTTAATCTTTGTTTATCAACTTCATCATATGTATGCTCACTTAAAACTCTGAGAAAAATCTAATTAAAAATTTCAAAAGTAATTGCATTTATATGATAAATCATTTGAAATAATTGATTTTGTTAACTTAATAATTACCTTTTTAGGAATAGCCCTAATTTCACAATAATTGGTGAAAATTTCTCGAAGTGTACTGCATTCTGGTAGATGAGCTAAAGTTTTCTTAGCCTTATCAGTTTGAAACTTCAATTGACAACACACATCAGCATATCTTGTTACTTTTAATCTATAAGATATAAAATAATTATAAATGATTGATATATGTGTCATCTGTAAATGTGTCTTTTAACATGTATTTCTGTAACTTCTTGTATTTATGACCTGGTCTTGTATAGTAATCATGAACTCTTTTTATCTTTCCAAAGAGGCATTTTTATGTCAGCCAGCAGTTTGACACAATTCTATAAATGAAAACCTGGCTGAGGTCATTAGGACCAGCCAGATTGAGTGCCTTCCATGGAGTTCCTTCAAAGACCAAGAATACCTGATGATGTCTGTGAATTTTCTGCATTTGCATCCAAGTGTGTTGTGTAAGTTTAATGAGGTACTGTTGTTGTCTGCAAAAGTTACAGCTTTGAATAATTGTGATGTTCCTTATTTACTATATAAAAGCTGTCATACTGTCTGTATTTCTTACTAGTATAGGTTTAAAATATCTATAAGGCCTTGTCTCTTATGAGAAAGAGTCAGCCCTTCTATGAATAACTTGGGTGGTGTTTGCTGTGTTTTGTTAATGTTGTTTATGTTTTCCTTTAAAGCTATTCTAGTTGTGTGTGTGTGTGGTTTAACTCCAATGAATGTTGGTACTGGGAACATATGTGCTGATTACTTTAAATGTGTGTTGTTAATATTGAATTTAATTTTCTTTTTGAAACCGTGTCCTGTTTTATATTTGTGGCGTAGTAAACACTAGTATTGTGTTTTATTCCAAAGACACATGGCAAATTTTCCATCAAATTCCTTTATTAGTTGAGTCGACTCAACTAATAAAGGAATTTGATGGAAAATTTGCCATGTGTCTTTGGAATAAAACACAATACTAGTGTTTACTATGCCACAAATTGAATTTAATCTTCTGTTATAGTTTTTTGCTAGTCTTAATTTTATTTGTACATGTATTCTGAATTGGATCTATTGGAATCCTACATATTTATAAACTTTGCCCTTATTCATGCATTCAACAACATATCCATTTACAAGTATAAAATCAAAGTTATCTTTCTTCAGCATTCCTTTTTCTGTATGAAGTGCTCTGCGTTTGACTAGGCCAAACTCTATTTAGATATGAGTGGAGTTCATGTGAATAACTTCTAATTGGTAACCTAGTTATTATATATTATTATAATTGTAATATATCTCAATAAGTCTACAGATATGTATTAAATTGATTGTAATTGAATACAAACTTTACTTTAAATAATATATAGTGTAACATAAAATAAAAATATTAATTAAATATTAATAAATCTAACATTTTCCCTCAATTATTTTAAAATATCACCTGGTTAATAATTCTTCTACTTCTTCAGGTGAATTGTGACACAAAAATCCAAAAGAATCTCCTGGTTCATAACATATACTCTTGTCCTATTTAAAATTTAATATAGAAACTGTTTATAATAATACTTATAATTAAATAGATAATGTATTTAAAACAAATAGAAAAAAACTTTAATTACAAACGAACATAACTGCAGAAAAAACTCTAACTCTTGAGGCAATATTTACATAAATTTAAAGTATTAACAATTCTAAAATTAAAGATTTATTAAATAAAAAGTTTCTATAACAACAAAAACTGAATAATATAATTACTTGTTAAGTAAATTATCATCAAATAAAATAAACTTAAAATAATAAAAAAGCTTATTAAGTGGTCAACCTGCAACATCTGCTGCAAATTTCCTTACAAACCATCAGTTAACAACAATAAAACAACATTCTAACACTCAATACGATACTGATTCATACTTCAGTTATCTTTAAAAAATAATAGTAATAAATAAAATAAAAAGAAATAAATATTTATAACTGGCTACAAAAAATATTTAGATGATTGATTGACCAGCTAAAAATTTCCACTGCCATCTGTCTGTCTGTCTTTCCTTAATCTCAAGAATAAAGTTAGGTAAATGAAATCCAAGACCAGATGTAAGCTTAAGGGCAGGACGCCCAGATTAACTACATATGAACTTCTGGTGCAAAGTAGAAGTCATGTTATTTCAATTCAAAAATTTTCCCCTGAAAGGAATAGATAGATGACTGGCAAGACTCTATTGCTAGCAGGAAAAGTATTATGTATAGGATCAAGACACTATTAATTTGAAATGGATAGCATAAAATTTTAATTATGTAAATTAGATTTAAATAAAAATTTTACTAAACTTTCTTGCCTACTTAATTTATTTATAAAATAATAACAAAAATGCTATATTTGGGAAACCAAAACAAATATTTTAATCAGAAACGTTTTTGTTCTTTTAAAAGAATATCATGGAAAAGTTATACAGTTGTATAATACATTTCCCTATAAAGTGAAATCTTATAATGCAATGAAAAAATTGCAACTAATACTCCTATAAAATTTGAATTTCACTGTACAGAGGTATATGTTTTCTTCTTCAATTTCTAAGCCTAGATTTAAACTTGCATAAAATTCAATAATGCTGGTCTCAATAACACAATTTCCTATAATGCAGAATGGTATCCTACATATGGTATGGACTCCACTGTGTAGCATTTTTCTTATTATTTTAAATATGGTATCCAGTCCAAATGGTATTTTTGTTCATTTTTTTATATACTAAAAATAACTTTTACTATAAATCAAGCTATAACAGAAATATTACTGTACATCGATGCATTTTATACTAAAATGTTTGTAATTATATACTTTATTCTGGAAAATTTTATTCTATATTTACTGTTCTAATTATAATATATATATATATATATATTATACTTATTTATGTAATTCATATATGTTTATAGATAAAATAGATACTTTTTACATAAAATAAAAATATTTCATTCATAAAAACATATGAATTCCTACCTGAATATGAACTGTAAGTTGTAAAGTTGTTTTTACATCTGAAGAAAATGTTAGTTGCTTTGCTGAAATAACTGTTGCAGGAATGAGATCGGAAACTGCAGACAGTAAGAAACTACTACTATATGAAAATTTTTTGATATTTTCCTGTATTAAATATTTAATAAATGTTGTTATAATTTGTTTAATTACATGGTATTTTCTTTAAAAAGTTCATTTTAAGTATTTTAGTAATTTATTCTTTAAACAGTGTGAACCTTACAGATGCAGTTCCTGCATCAAAAAGTAGGCAGACACAAACAGTTTTAGTCAGCAAGTCACACAAATTTTAAAATAAATTTTGATTTTACAAATCTTTAATAATTATCGTAAATATATATAAATAATTAAAAATCACATACAGTAGAGCGTCGATTTTCTGAAAGTCAATCATCCGAAAGAATTCCAGTCGGCAAATTTAAATTTTCGCCAGTGCTGTGGCGCTTCAATCTTTGGCTATGTCTTGGGCTACTCAAATATTTTACGTTTTTGATACTAAATTAACATCTGAAGTATAATTTTTTATTATTTTTATATTTCTTAATATATTTATTTTGTTTGTACAAAATAAAAAAAATAATTTTTAACGATACAATAGTCTTTGTTAGGCTTAACATCAAGAAAATTCAACGCGAAGCGACAAGCAACTGAGAAAAATTTCGACATCGGATACGTTAAACTATTTTTTCGTACGTAAATCAGTTATCCGAAATATCAGTTATCCGGACAACCCCAGTCCCCAATTGATTCGGAAAATCGACGCTCTACTGTATTCACAATTTTCATATTAAGTATAGTTAAAATTCAATACAAACATGAGACTATATATACAATTATAATATTAAAATAAGTAGAAAAAAGCTACAAAAATTGATTTCAGACATAATGTAATTAATAATATTAAATTTAATGATCATTACTGCAAATAAAAACCCCACAAATATGGAAACAATTGTATATATTAGTCAAATGTGTTTTGGCAGTATTTCCATTAAATTATTGTAATCAGTTAAATAATGAATTATAAAAAAAAATGGAATGAGTCAATAAATAAAATAATGCATAGCATCAAATATATATGTATAAATATAATATATATATATTATATATCAATAGCAAAAAAAAATTTTAACTCATTCTACAAGATGATTATCAAAATACTAAAATTTGCTTTTTAAATGCCAAAATGAAAAAAACTAAATTGTAAACATAATTACAGTATTTATAAAATACTTAATTTGATATAACAATTAAAATTTAATTAAATACCTTATTTGAAGAATACGTAACAGTTAATGAAGATGTTGGCAGTAATGGTATTGTTAAAGTATCAGCTTGAACTGATGAATTTCTAAGTAACAAAGACTTTTTACTTGAAGATTCATCAATTTTTAAATTTGAAGCTTTTTCACTTAAGTTAGTAATGTCATCCACTTTATTTACATTTCTCTCTGCCATATTATTATCCATGTTTTTACTTAGATTTTTTATAACAATTCTTTCTGTTAAGCTTGAGTAATCTATTTCAATTGTGATATTTAAATGAATTCTTATAGCTTTCCATAAACCCTCAATCCAAGGTTCAACACTTTCTTCAAGACTACAGAAATATTTAAAAGCAGAATAATTGTAAACATAATCAAGAAGAAACTTTAATTTAAATCTTCATTTAAACTTACCCTATGGCATCATCACCATATCCAGTTGGATAAAATCTTTTTGCACCCAAATATTCCAATCTTTTGTCTAGGATTTTACCAAAGTGGCAAAAACTATTGTAATTTGAATCTCCTAAAGCTTAAAAAAAAGAAAATTTAATTTTCAAGTTAAGTTTAAAAATTAATTTTATAATTTAAAATTTTTTAACTTATAATTTTTAACTTATAATAACTTATACTATCTTAATATTAGTCAGTTTATATTCTACAAACCTATTTGAAATGAATTTCATTCACCATTTAAACTATCAGAAATTTACATGAAAACTCCTGCGTACATATTAAACCAAGTGCCATAAATAATCCCTTTTGTTAATAAACAAGTTCATTCCAATAACTCGCTATCTTGGATTTCATTGCTAGTGTGAGATAAGCGCGAATACCAGAGACAAAGAAACACAACTTTTATGATATGAAATTCTTTAATTCGCGCACAGAATACCAAAAATGTGGTTCGGACGCCAGCTACAATCTCTACCCTCGAACATTTAATTAATTTCAGTAACAAAAAACTTTACGGACCAGTTATATAACGCGACAGTTTCGTACTTTAATGACTATTCTACTTATATACTATACAATTATACCTTATAACTAAGCTTACGGCTAATTATTATCTTCTAAAGATGAAAATTAGGTCTAAGGTAAGATAGGAATTGAAATATAAAGATGAGAGAAAAAGGAAGTCGGGTACCCAATGATTTCGGTGTGCTTCACGGGGGATTGTAGTAAGTGGGGGTGAGCCTCTTGATCCACGGCGAAAGATAATTCCTTCCCTGTGGAAGTTTTCTTGGTCTTCACTATACACTTTAAAACGCACGAAAACCTCCTTTTCAGTTTTCGATAGCTTCCGTATTCTTTTCTCCTCGAAAAGTCCGTTTAGTCTCCACTCGGTTCAACAACCCAAGAGCCTTCTTCACATGTCTTTTCCTGTCCTCTACTACCTCTAGAATGAACTCTTGGACCCCGTTATACCCTGAGGGTTACACACCTTCCCCTTTGTTACACAGGGGTCACCTGCTGTTACACCGTTAAACAAAAGTAGGGAGAAACTTCCAGAAAGAAAGACAATAGAAATGAAGACAAAGGGAAATATATTTAATAAAAATATAAACTATAACTATACAATTATGGCATGTAGCCACATATGCCCCATACAAAAAAGTGGTCAATTACCGAAGTGCAACTTACGGTAGTTGACTTTTTTATTACGTAAATTGTATCCATGGCACGGATTAGATCGGTTACTATTTCCAGTATCATCAGTTAGTTGTTCGTTTGAGTTCCTATCCTCAGCAGGTTGTAATTGGTTCTGACATGGTTCAGAACTGACGGGTATATGCCGGATGTACTCCAACATTTCTTCATCGTTTCCGTTTTCACTCTCGTTAGTCGTTTCCTCGTGGGGATCTTCCCTACATATCAGGCGTTGTTTATTGGTTCTTATGGGGATGTGACATGGTTTTATCCTATCAACATGAACTGAGATTCGGTTACGGCGTGAATTTCCTTCTAACTCGACTGTTACTGGACCCAGCATACGAGAAATGCGAAACGGACCTAAATATTTTGTGGAAAATTTTCCATTGCTTTCTTCCGGAGCCTTTCCGGAGCAGCCACACTCTCTGACCTATTTTCCAAGCACTATAGTTACGGTTGCGGTTGATCCGATCTCTATTCTGGGAGTTCTTAACTCTCCCTGATGCAAAGGCACCGTCACGAATAGCATTTAATCTAGTGATCCATTTATTCCTAATGTTTTCATCATGGTCGCTCATTTTATCACCATTTGGGAAAGACTAAGGAAGACAAGGATCATAACCGTACAACAAGAAAGAAGGTGATTCATTAGTATAAGCGTGAATTGTATTATTGTAAGCAAAGATTGCAGGACTGGCAAACAGATCCCAATCCCGGTTGTTCCCTTTAGAGATGCGAGATATGACCCCACAAATATATTTGTTAAATCTCTCGCAAACAGAGTTCGAACAGGGGCGATAAGCGGTGGTTGTGTTATGTTTTATCTGTAATAATTTGCACGCATCCTGAAAGAGCTTAGAAGTAAAGTTGCTGCCACGGTCAGATATAACAACCTCTGGGCAACCGTAGCGGCATATGACATGATTGAAGATCGCATCGCTTACGGATTCAGCACTTTGGATACTCATCGGAATAATTTCAGCATACCTTGTAAATACATCAATAATAGTAAACAAATACCTATTCCCTTGCCGAGTTACGTGAAGTGGGCCGACAATATCAACGGCTATCTTTTGGAATGGATACTCGGCGCTTTCGGTTTCCTGAAAGGGTGCACGTTGGCGGTGAAGGTTAAATCTTTGGCAAGTAGTGCAGGTTTTAATGTAATGACGGACCTGGGTTCTTAAGTCACGGATATGGTAGTGTCGGTCAACTAGATTGCAGGTTTTTTCAGAGCCAAAATGTCCAGCTACGTTTGAGTCATGGAACATTTTAATAACTTCGTTTACCATGCTGATCCCCATGCATGGGCGTTTCCAATGGCGCAGACCGTAACGGTCTGGTTTCACATGCATTAAAACATCACCTTCCAATTGGTACTTGGGTTGTATAACCCCAAAATTTTCCGAATTGTGATTGGTTTGTTTTGCGCGATGATCTTTAAATCTCTTTAAAAACTCATCCTCATTTTGTGACTCAATTATCCTCTGCCAAAAGTTACGATTAGTAGTACACATGTTACAATTAGGGGAGTTTTCCACATCCTTGGATATCATTTCGGGACGGGAGAGCCAGTCGGCAACAGGGTTTAGTTTCCCTTTTACATGGCAAATGGTGTAATTATAGTCAGAAAGCTCCATAGACCACCGCATCAGCCTCCTGTTGTGGTTTTTCATAGTTTTTAAGTATGCCAAAGGTTTATGGTCGGAGTAAACCTTTACGTCTTGACCTAAGACAATAGGTTTAAAGTGGCGAAAAGATAAAATTATGGAGAGACACTCTTTTTCGATTGTCGAGTATTTTGTCTCTGCTCCGTGGAACTTCCTGCTAAAGTAACTGATTGGTGCAAATTTACCCTCTCTGATCTGGCCTAATACTGCGCCAGCTGACCAATCAGAAGCATCTGTGTACATGAGGAATGGACTCAAAAAATCTGGATGGATAAGAATAGGGGGTCTTGTAAGTATGCCTTTAAACTTCTCAAAGCTCTCATTGCACTGTGTGTCCCAATTAAACCTCTTTCCCTTTTTTGTTAACTCGGTTAGGGGTAGGGCAATTTTTGCAAAATTCGGTATAAATTCACGGAAAAAACCGACCATACCCAGAAAACTTCGTACCCCCTTTATATTAGTTGGTGGGCTGACTTCATTAATTGCACGAACATTCTTAGGGTCTGGGAGGATACCATCTTTGTTTATAACGTGGCCTAAATAGCAAACTTCTTTCATAATAAATTTACTTTTCTGAGGGTGAAGCTTTAAGTTAGCGTTATGTAATATCCCTATGACATTATCTAACAAATCCAAATGCTCGTCAATGGTCTTCGAGAACAGTACGATGTCGTCTTGGAAGACGAAGCAATTGATGCTCACGAACTTCCCAAGGAGTTTAGACATTACATACTGAAAATAACGCCCGCTGTTCTTTGCCCCCTGAGGTAAGCGACACATTTGGTACTTCCTCCAAGGGGTTGAGAAAGCAAAAATGTGACGAACAGATGGATGCAAAGGGATTTGAAAATATCCCGACTTCAAATCGAGGACCGAGAAAAATTTACTGCCATGAAACCTGCTGAGTATCTCGTCTACATGCGAGAGGGGGAATTCTTGCGGCTGAGTGACTTCATTTATGCGCCGAAGGTCTAACGTCATACGCAACTCGCCACTTTCCTTTTCAATGACATGAATGGGGGAGTTCCACTCAGAGGAACTCTCTTCTATTATGCCAGCCTCAATATAAGAACGGATCAATCCTCTAAGCTCTTTCAAGTGCATTTGGGGATACGATACTGGCGAATGTTTATGGGGGTCTGGGATTCAATAACAGGGTGGTGGGTGTAAAGTTTGGTTCCCTTAAGCTCAGTGATGGTAGTGGCAAAACAATTGGGGTATTTACCGAATATATCATGCAATTTTTCTTTAACACGAGTGTCAAGACCTTCAAAATTTGGTAAACTAATGGGGGTGGAGTTTGAGCAGTTAAAATTGGGGCTATTATTGTTCAGACGAATCGGGGTTCTCTCTCTGAAAGCGTTCTTTATCTCATCAACTGAACTAGGAAACCTGGACATTACATCTACGCCTAAAATACCCTCGTAATCCAAGGAAACCGGATACATGCTACATTTATAGGAAACCGGAAACCGGATACATGCTACATTTATAGGGTGTGATTGATCACGGAATTTGACAGTGGCATTGAGAAGATACTGACAGGTGTTTACTTCACCACTAATGCCTCTCACACCAAAGTTAACGTCATCTACCCCTAACCCCTCTAACATCCTATTAGGGATCGTTTCAAGTGCAACTAGGTCATAGAGTGAGTTCTCAGCTCCGGTGTCCAGTAAGAATTTTATCCTGCGGCCAAAGATCTGGCCTTCAATGAGGGGGAGTCCCCTTTTTGACACAATTACTCCGGGGGTCAGATTGATTATAGATTCGGAAGCACGGCACTGACCTTCACCATACTCCGTTACTAGTTTAAATCCTTTTTTGTGCGGGCTGGGCAGTTTCGGGCGAGGTGGTTCAGTTCTCCACAAAGAAAACACGCACGATGACGAGGAACACTATTACGTCTCTCCTGCGTGACTATTAAACATTTTACTGCCTCAGTTAGAGCTCTGACTTCGTCTTTTAGAGTTTTATTGCAGTCATCGGTATTTGTATTATCTGCAACTATATCATTATCATGGTGCTGATTACTTGGGGACGGTTGTACCGCTAAATTAATATTCCTTCTTTCGCTAAGGTTTCCGCATTCAATCTCGATCTGCTCTTCCGCTTCTGCGAAATCCAAGGCTTCTTCTAAAGTCTTAGGTTTGAGCCTTAAAACGTTGGCTCTCAGGTGAGCATTGAGTCCTTTTATGAATCATTCTGCAATTACATTGTCCTTCAATGGGGCCATATTATGATTGCTTTTAATGGTTCAAGCAAAGAGTGTTTTTGTGCGGACAATATAATCAGTAACCGACTCATTCATGCCTTGTTTGATATTCATGAGTTGGTCAATGATGTTTTTTTCCTTCGTAGCCTTCCTTTCAAAACATTTTATGAGATCACATTTGATGTCATTGAATGAAGATGGGTACTGTTCCAATAGACAGAAAAATGTGTCTAACGGTTCCCCCTTTAGCTTTGCTTGCAAAACAGCTATCTTTCATCTCGTCATCTCGCCATTCCGCGAGTCTAGATACATTATCAATAGTCTTGAAGAATTGATTTATGTTGACTGAATTGCTCTGAGTGTTTGAAAAGGTGGGGATCATCCCCAGAAATCCAGTTACAACCAGGGGGGGATTAGACACAGCCCCCTCAGCCGACATTGTGCTTTCAGCAGGATTCATATCCATAACACAATATATTAGAACCGTATACAAATAAGAACCCGACAATTAATTATACGCTAATCCGCAAGGGGAATAGAGATGAAGTAACAGCTTGAGTAAACCGTTACAGCTGGCATCCTGTCGCGGACGCCATTGTGAGATATGCGCGAATACCAGAGACAAAGAAACACAACTTTTATGATATGAAATTCTTTAATTCGCGCACAGAATACCGGAAATGTGGTTCGGACGCCAGCTACAATCTCTACCCTCGAACATTTAATTAATTTCAGTAACAAAAAACTTTACGGACCAGTTATATAACGCGACAATTTCGTACTTTAATGACTATTCTACTTATATACTATACGATTATACCTTATAACTAAGCTTACGGCTAATTATTATCTTCTAAAGATGAAAATTAGGTCTAAGGTAAGATAGGAATTGAAATATAAAGATGAGAGAAAAAGGAAGTCGGGTACCCAATGATTTCGGTGTGCTTCACGGGGGATTGTAGTAAGTGGGGGGTGAGCCTCTTGATCACGGCGAAAGATAATTCCTTCCCTGTGGAAGTTTTCTTGGTCTTCACTATACACTTTAAAACGCACGAAAACCTCCTTTTCAGTTTTCGATAGCTTCCGTATTCTTTTCTCCTCGAAAAGTCCGTTTGGTCTCCACTCGGTTCAACAACCCAAGAGCCTTCTTCACATGTCTTTTCCTGTCCTCAACTACCTCCAGAATGAACTCTTGAACCCCGTTATACCCTGAGGGTTATACACCTTCCCTTTTGTTACACAGGGGTCACCTGCTGTTACACCGTTAAACAAAAGTAGGGAGAAACTTCCAGAAAGAAAGACAATAGAAATGAAGACAAAGGGAAATATATTTAATAAAAATATAAACTTTAACTATACAATTATGGCATGTAGCCACACTAGTTTGGAAAACATAACTACGCAAATCTTGCAACTACTTGGCAACACATTGCAATGAAGTTCATTCAGAAAGGATTTTTGAAGAATTTTCTGGAATTTCTCGTAGTTTTTCTTATGTCATAAGTTTGCATAGAAAAGACAAGATATGCATTTCTGTGAACTCTAAAGCCTATATTCTAATCCTTTGATAACAACTATGCGAATCAAAACATAAACTTTTCCAAAGATGAGCCTGTAATTTCCAACACAACAATGCCTGTCTTCACAATTCTATGAAAACTAAAGCTTGGCTGCAGTCTAACAATATACAGGTATCCTTCATACAACATGGTACTTCTACAGCATGGTTTTGCTCTAACACAGTTTGAAAATTGGAGATATTCCCCATACAACATGACTTCTGGTTTCACTCTAACATGGTTTTAGAAATCCTATGTAAAAAGTTTCACAATTTTAAACTGTTATTCAATATTTTTTTTTATCCAAGTAAGCATGTGTGTTATCTCAAATTTGCCCGTAGATTTTAGAATATTGAAATTTTCAGTTTGCTTTGTGTCTTTCATCAGGTTTACTTTAATGAAAACTGATAGAATTTTTTCTTCCTTGTCCTAGCTTTCCTATCAACCAGGTCTCATTGTCATTGCTTTCAGACTTTAGCCCTTAAGACTATAGTGAAGTTTCTTTCCCAAACTCCGTCTCATTGAGTTAGTTTGCATATTTATCATGACTTGATATAGTTGGGATCCAGGTTCAGTGAAAGCACACCTCCACACTCAAGATAGACAATATTAACAGTTTATTTACAATACATATATATATAGTGTACAAGTTGAAAAAACAGTAAATACAGGATATACAAAGCGTGATGCCTCACGTACTAGATTGCCTTTTGGGAACTATTAAGCTCTGGAGACGCCTCGGTCAGCCTGGGGAGTGGCACTACTGCATGGTTTGTCCGGTCCCAGCACTTACCCATCCCTGAGGTAGTTACCAGAGGAGTATGCTCTCTCTAAGCTCAGCGGGCTTCCCAAGTGTCTGAGGCTTCCATGTTACCAGTCTTGAGCCCCTTCTCTCTCATCTCCCATTTGCTCTGCAATTTAAGGATAGAAATCCTTAAATTGTTCCATCCAAAAATAAATTTTTTATTTTTGGATGGAACTTCCTACAAACTGCAAATCTTTCTTGCACAAACAGCTTTCACCCATTCAAACTGAGCTCACTAGAATGGTGTTGCAACACCAACACACCCCGTTGTGGGGCCAGGTGGTCATACTAAGGCATTGTAATAACAGAAGCCTCGTGTATATTTGGGAGGCCCTTCTTACCAACGTACTAAATCCATGCAACACCCCCACACTTGATTTGCCCCCTTTGTGGATTAACTTGTATAACTGCCTAAGACAACATATCTAGCTCCACAGTTTGGAAACTTATAGCACATGTGCATTATAACTGCATATGTTTTTATTTAAATTCTTTTTCTTTTTCTTACGTTTTACCATTGCTTTTGTTCCAAAACGTTAATACCATTGGAATAATTTGATATTCATATTCAAAAAAGGACTTTAACCATTTTTAATTTGTATACACAGTGCATGTACAAAGTTTTGGCACATCCTGCAAAATATTACAACTTGAGCCAATTGATTTTGAACTGTGCTATTATTTATCAATTTAACTCAGTAGCCTACAATAAGATGAATTAGAAGCAGTGGGATCTGAAGTTACTAGATAATAAATTGGGATCCACAGGCTGTCCATATTATATCCATAATTCCATCAAAGCACATTTATATTGAATCACCAGTGTATTTTAATCTCATTGTTTTTACAAAATATTAATTGCTAATGAATGTAAGTTTATGTTCTTTATATTGCTAACTCATATGATAGTAACTAATGATGATGTTTATTTTTTCATTTTAATAAATACATAGTAATACATAAAATCTTAACTTACCAAGCAAAGTATAATATACTCCTTTTAAGTGATCTGGTGGTAATGTTCTTTTAATAATTCTACGCCAAAATGTAATTACTGTTTGAGGTGGTTCACCATCACCAGTCGTCGATACAATTATTACAACACAATTTGATTCTTTAATGCTGAACTGTGAAACACAAATATTCTTTAAAATTAATAATTTTAAATAATAAGCTATAAAAAATAACTAATTTATTTATTTAATGCAATATAATATAAAATTAATTATATTTTGTAGCATATGTTTATATAATTCATAGCACTACAATATATAATACAAGTAAATTAAACTTCACTCTGACACCGGGGATGAAACACTAAATACGGAACCTGTTACCGGTGTAATTTTGCATGAAAAAAATCTTTCTTTCGCAAATGTTTTCGAGCTGTCGAGATAGCTCTTCCTCAGGTAGAGAAACCACCTGACCACATGTATAAACCGGAAAGATGAGATTAATCTTTCTATAGCATGGCAGGCCCTCATAAACGACGATTTATAAATATCAACATCAGCACACAAATGCGCACTGTCTTAATGATTTTTCGTTATGCAAGTTTCAGATTTTTTGTTTAAACATCTGCGTTCTATTTTTAGAATCGGTTTTTTATTTAAATATCTACGTTCCATTTTTCGAAATGTTCTGTCGGAATTTTTTCTCTACCTGAGGAAGAGCTATCTCGCCAGCTCGAAAACGTTTGTGAAAGGAAGATTTTTTCACGCAAAATTACACCGGTAACAGGTTCCGTATTTAGTATATAATACAAACATTATATATTGTACATATGATGATGATGATGAATAAACATATAATCAGGGCTACTTTCAGCTGGAATACACAGTATGCCATACCAGCAGACGACAGATAGTATAAAAAAGTATCAAAAACTGGTATCTAATACTGACAGCTGCTCAGTAAAAAGAATTCTATACGTTCAGTCATTATGTATTACCAGCAGTAAGTTTTTAGAAAAAGAGCACTGCATTTAATGGTTAAAACACAACCATTCATCACTGGGAAATCTTGATAAAAACTACAAAAAATCAAATACCAGCAGAAAAAAGAGGTATAGAGCTAATGTTAATATAGTTAACTTTTGCAATGTAAATTCCTTCCCCTGGCCTGAAAGTCATTCTATGAATTGTAAACTCAATATCCTCTCCCTCTCCATCTCTCTTTCTTATGTCTTCTATGTCTTCACTCCTCTTCACATATGTATGGGAATCTCCCATTATTTCAACAGCTATAGGGTCATTTAACCTAACTGTCTGTTCAACACAAGTGAATAAGTTAGCTCTATTCCCCTTTCTTCTACTGATATTTGGTTTTTTTGTGTTTTTTTATTAATAATTAATTCATACAATTTATCTTATTTTATATTTGCAAATATAAAAATATTTGTTTACATTAAAATTAATATGTAAAAGAATTTATCAAACTAAAATTTACTTTTAAATGATTACAAATGGTACAGTAGAGTCTCGAAAACTCGGCCTAATGTGGACCGAAGGGTGGCCAAGTTTGTGAAAATGCCGGGTTATCGGGAATGGGGTTTAAAAAAATAAGTACGAGTGTTTCCTCAGAAAATACTGTGCTGTACTTGTATGTATTGTTTACTTAAGAATACAACAGGGAATAAACTGCCCAAATATCCTTAAACAAAGGAAAAGTACATCCTTTATGAAGGCATAGAGCCTTTACTACATGAAAATGAAAATTAATGAATACACTGTGTACAGTAATTTACCTGATAA